CAACCACCTAAAGGTGGCCTCCATGCTGCCCAAATGCAAAAGCTGATTTCGCGTAGCTGCATTTTCTCTGTACCAAAGCTCGATTGTGGTTTATCCAAAAATATAAAAAAATAAATGCATACATAGAAAGCTCACATGTGACATCTAGTGATTCAGTGATAATAATCACTAAACAAGAGTGTTGTAAAAGGAAGTACAAACTGACCATACTTTTACTTTAAAATGCCTAAATCTCGCCAGTCATTTGTTTTACAAAGAATATACTCGTTATTTATATCTAGATGGAATGGAACCAAGAGATCTAAACAAAAATTTGAAAATAAGGAACCTATTGCACCTGATGTCAATAATACGATATCATCTTAGAACTTTAGAGCTAAAACTAACCAATTTATATATCCATCCTCTTATTATGATTAAACACAAGTTTGCACTACGTAATAAGCGATTATAAGGTTGTTGTTTGTGATCTTCTTGTGAAGTATGTTTTATTATCAAAATAAATACCTTGATAAGTTGGAGCCATTCGCAAATCATAGACCGTCCTCCCATTCCTTTTTGAATCAACCATGTTAACAATTATCTCTTTCATAGGTAAGGTCCAGCTGTAAAATTAACATAAGCTGAGGATGGTATACTTAAATCATATCCCTATGCTCTCCATAACCATATTGATCGCAAATTCAGATTGCAATAGTGTCAAACAAGCGAAAGCATTAATAAGTGGAAGAAAGAAAGTATAAACAACAACCCTTGGGTGGAGTTTGACTGCTTTCTGGTCCGGGCTTTTTCTTCGATGTTATAAACATAGAAATTCACAAGATAGACAAAACAAACATCTATTAAAGCAGTCGTAAAACTCATTAATAAAAATACACTAATATGTTAGTCTGTGGACTGATTCTAAATAAAGCTAATACCACAAATAAGCATCTTGTTTCTTTATAATATTCATTTAAAACAATTAGTGTCAAGCATTCCTAAGCGGAACATGCTAGGCAATACTTGAAAATTAGTAGATCTTAATTCTTATGAATATAACCAACAACACTCAATCATAGGGAACCCAAACCAAGAAGATAAGTGTGTACTAGCTGGACTAGGCTCCTAAACAATAAATAGGCTTTCTATCCTATATGATATGTTCAATTTTTAGCATGTTTGTTCAGAGGAGTTTAGCGGGGAAGAGGAGGAAGGGTAACAAAATAATAAATGCAAGTAAATCATTTAGAAGAAACCAAAGAAATTGTCAATAAAGTTCATGCTAATGCATTTGTAGATTTGCTTTAGTAGCTTTTTCCTGAGTTTTCTCTATCAGTTTCTTGATCCCAGAGTTCAACCAGAATTTAAAGGCTTACCAAATTCCAAATTCTCAAAATGGAAAAAAATTGGATTCTTTCATCCGTAGTTAATATATCAAACTAAACCTGTTGGGAAGAAGAAACCATGTCCTAATTCTAACAGTCATAGAGATTCACTTAAAGAAGAAGAGTGAATTGGNTTCCTCAACCAAGTTTCTCTTTCAATTTCTTACATGGTATCAGAGCAATAAGCTCGATCCAACAGTCCAATCATCAAATTCATTTACATCAGATTCATCATCATAGTCAGTAACCTAAAATGCCTGAAACAACCATCATCTCTACTGGTGATACGAGCAATGCTGCAAAACCGGTCAGCTATGATGTCAATCACCCTTATCATCTCAACAACTTTGATTCACCTGGAATGACTCTAGTCAACACTGTATTTGATGGAATAGGATATCCAGGGTGGAGGAGATCTATTCTCTTGTCTTTGTCAGCCAAGAAGAAACTTGGTTTCATCAATGGAGCATGTCAATCTCCAGATCTGAAATCTCCAGAACATGAACAATGGAGTTGTGTGAATGACATAGTCATCTCTTCAATTTTAAATGCTCTCTCAAAGATATTGCAGACAGTGTGATATATTCCAAAACTACAAAAGAACTTTGGGACAGTTTGGAGCAATGATTTGGGAGATCAAATGGAGCCAAGCTTTATCATCTGCAGAAGGAATTAATAGGTTTAGTACAGGGAAACAATGACATTGCAGCATACTTCACTAAGATCAAACGACTGTGGGATGAATTGGATGCTTTAAATGTTATCATATGTTGTTCATGTGTTTGTGTTTGTGAAGGAAAGGCAAAGTTGACTAAGTCTCTTGAAGATCAGAGATTGATCCAATTCCTAATGGGAATAAATGACATCTATGCACAAGCAAGAGGAAATATCCTCATGATGAACCCTTTGCCTAGCATAGATGTTGCTTATTCACTTCTCTTGCAGGATGAAAATCAAAGAGAAGTTTATGCAAATGCACATTTTAATTCTGAATCAGTATCATTCATGGCAGCTGGAGAGGCCAAGCAGCCTAATGCACAACTTCTAGCTGATTTTGCAGTTTTCATGATCACAGGACAAGGGAAGAATTATCAAAAACTTAGAAGCCAAACACAAAGAGGAGCAGGCATATCACCCAAATACAACAACTTAGGGCAAAAGTTTGTTAAACTTCAACAAAAGGTTTAAAGGGAAAAAGAAATACAATCCTAATGTGTCTTGTACTTATTGTGGAAAAACAAGGCATACACAAGAGGACTGCTATAGAATTATTGGATTTCCAGAAGATTTTGAGTTCACCAATCACAAAGGTTATCAGACTCAAATTAAAGGAAATGCAATCCTAGCACATGAGGAACGCGAGAATTTAGCAGGACAAAGCACTGAGCTCAACAATAGTAATTTTGGACAACAACTCAGCAAGGAACAAATTGCATAAATGATGCACATGTATAAGCAGGAAAAGTTAGCACATGTAGGAAATACAGGAATCAATGCTAATACAATTGCTGGTACTATTCTAAAATTCTCAGGTTCAGTGTTTACTAGTCTAAAATCAGACACCTGGATCATTGATTCAGGTACCTCAGAGTATATGTGTTTTGATCCTAATTCATTCATATTTCTAACTCCACTTCCTGTACCTTTGAATATCAGTCTACCTAATTCTTTCAAGGTGATTGTTACTCATATAGGGAGTATTTCTATTCTGCCAGGTCATATTCTTAACAATATGTTACATGTTCCAAATTTCAAATATAACTTATTATCAGTTAATAGATTTTGTGTTCAGTTCAAGTATGATGTCCTATTCACATCTATTGGGTGTGTATTGCAAGGCCTTTTAATGAAGAGTCCACAAGTTTTTGGTAAAGTTAGGGAGGGTCTCCACTTGTTGGAACTAGGGCCTTAGTATGGTGAAGTTTTTGGTGTAGTAATGTACTTTCAATTCCAAAAGAAAGAAATCATGTTTCAGAGTCTGTTTCTTTTTCTAGTGCAATTCAAGTTAATGGTATTCCTGATGTTAAACTTTGGCATATAAGATTAGGACACCTCCCATTTTCAGCAATAAAATATTTAGATTTTCTTCATTGTAAGCCAAATTCTGAGTTTATATGTATGTTTGTCATAAGGCTAAGCAAACCAGGAATCCTTTTTCTGTCAGTAGCAGAAAATCCAAGCATATATTTGAACTTATACATGTAGATACATGGGGACCTTATAAGTCAAATACGTATAATGGATTCAGATATTTCCTTACTATAGTAGATGACTATAGTAGAGGAACATGGGCATTTTTATTAAGTGCAAAAAGCAATGCTTTTCCAATGCTTAAATCTTTTCTGTGTATGGTTGAAAGGCAATTCAATGTGAAAGTCAGAATGATAAGATCTAACAACGCATTAGAATTGGGAAAAGGTATGCAAGAGGCAGCTTTCTTAGCTTCGGAAGGAATTCTACACCAACTATCTTGTGTAGCAACTCCTCAACATAATGGAATTGTTGAAAGGAAGCATAAACACCTTTTAGAGATTGCAAGAGGGTTAATGTTTCAATCCAAGCTACATATGTCCTATTAGGGTGAATCTACCCTAACTGCCACACATCTTATTAATAGGATGTCTTCTAGTGTTCTTAAAGGAAAGACACCATATGGGGTTTTATTTCAAGAGAAACCTAAGTATGATCATTTATGGAATTTTGGATGTCTCTGTTATGCCTCAACAATAGTTAAATGAATAAAAGAAAAATAAATAAACAACAGTCTATAATTTTTCTACAATTTCTGCAGTATAATGTATGTTATGTCTTCTTTTTCTTCTTCTTCGAGTTTCAATATGAAATTCAGCCAAAACCAAGTCTAATCTTCACCAAAACCCTTCAAAATTGAGATATAAACTCCAAACCATATTCCCAATTATTTTCAACAATACCCAATCCAAACAAATAGTGATTTTTGAAAACCCAAATTCGAATTCAAAGCTTTTTAATGGCTGTCAATGGTGGAATTGCTGCTCTCTTTTCCTTTTGCTTTGTATTTGATTTCTATAATTTTTTCGAATGTATCGATCATTAATTGATGTGCTATTGTAGAAATCAATAGACTATAACTCGCATCCTCATCGACTACAATGTCATCGACCTGAAATTCTCTAAATCTCCCATAGCTATCCCAATTCCCATTCAGTTGTGGCATAATTGAGATTTTGGACATAATTGCATTTGTTGCAGAAGAATTATAGAAGATTTAGCCATTTTTGATTTGTGAAATCAGAAAAAATGTTGAAACACAATGTATCGTAAAAACAGAACGTGATTTGCGTTGTAAAATATCTGGAAGAATATTTAATTCCCCAATATTTGCGCGCCTAAATAAGGAAACCTGCAGCTATAATGATTTCTTATCTAATGAATTGTCTATATTTTGTAGAAATACTATTAGCATGCGGGTAATATGCAAACTATGAATATATTTGGTAATATAGTTTTCCTATATGGTATAGGAACGAAAATATCCCTTTTTAAAAAAGTTTTGCAAGTTAGCAGGCCTTAGAACCGACGGGCCGTGACCCAAATACAGGACGGGTCGGTGAGCCCAAAAGATTACACCATTTCAAAGAAGTCTTCACTCAAAACCTTTTGAACGACCTCAGCTCAAAACCCTAGTGGCACATAGCATTCAACCGCCAACTGGTAATCTTCTTCCCACACAACCATTATTGCCATGGCGGGAGGGAAGATGAGGAGAGACAAGCCCCACCGTGGTGCATCAGCCGGCGGCTCAAATCCTCACTTCCAGGGAGGGATATCGTTCCACAAATCCAAGGGTCAGCACATTCTGAAAAATCCTCTATTGGTTGACTCTATTGTCCAAAAAGCCGGAATTAAATCTACGGATGTCATCCTCGAAATTGGTCCTGGTACCGGTAATCTTACTAAGAAGCTTCTAGAAGCCGGAAAGTCAGTTATTGCTGTTGAGCTTGATCCTCGTATGGTTCTCGAATTGCAACGAAGGTTTCAGGGTACTCCTTTATCTAACCGACTCAAGGTATCTTATTTTATTTCATCAGTTTTTTTCCTGTAAGATATTTATTGCTTAAAGGACCTTAAGTGTCAGTTGAAATAGCTCATAATTGAAAGAAAGGATGAATGACAATGGATTGGGTGTTGTTAAGGTATAGCATAACCATTATCCAATTTTTCCACCCACTAGTTGGACTGCTCCGTCCTTGCTGTATTGGCTTATACGTGTAATCAGGCCAATAACACTTTTAATGATTAAACTAAGAATAGAAACCAAAATAAAAACACAAATTTAAGTTAAAGTCATTTCATGTTCTCCCAAGATTTAGGTGATGCGGTTCTATCTGCATTATAAAATATAAAAGTAATTGCTAAGATTTCTTTTTAGTTGAGTAAATGTATAAAAGAGGATACTTATATGTACTGCGGGTGTAGTAGGGTAGAGGGTATAAATTTTTTAAAATTTAGCTACCCGTATATTTGAGGCTGACTAAATTTTTAATCATCAGCCTTAACTTTAACCCCAAATTGTTTTTAAAAATGAGATTCAAATTCCATCCGTACTTGGTGGCTTTGAGATATCACTTGTCTAGTTGCCTTATTATTTGAAAAAGAGATCAGTTGTCTAGTTAAATTCTGTTGGTTAACTGAATTTTGTGGAAGTTTTTGCGAAGCTATAATGTGTATATTGTTCTTATTTTCAATTAAATGCATGTCCCATCATATATGTGTACATTGGGGTGCCGAAGCTGTTCTGATCTTCTGATCTTCTGGCCTGCAGGTTATACAAGGGGATGTTCTCAAGTGTGATCTCCCTTACTTCGACATTTGTGTTGCTAACATCCCATATCAAATATCATCTCCTCTTACCTTCAAGTTATTGGCTCATAGACCTCTATTCAGAGCTGCAGTAATAATGTTCCAGAGAGAATTTGCTATGAGGCTTGTTGCTCAACCGGGTGATACTCTTTATTGCCGCCTTTCTGTGAACACCCAGCTGTTGGCTCGAGTATCGCACTTACTCAAGGTAGGAAAGAATAATTTCAGGCCACCGCCGAAGGTTGATTCTTCTGTAGTTAGAATTGAACCTAGAAAACCACTTGCTCCTGTCAATTTTAAGGAGTGGGATGGTTTGGTCAGGATCTGTTTCAACCGGAAAAACAAAACTATAGGTTCTATTTTTAGACAAAAATCCGTACTCTCTTTACTGGAAAAAAACTATAGAACTTTGCAAGCATTACAACTCGCTGAGAATGTTCCTTCAGAGGATGTGGAAATGGCGTTGGATGTATCCGCCTTGGGAGAGACATTTGGAGACTTGAGTATGGATGCTGATGATGAGAAGGATGATGACGAGATGGAGGTGGATGATGGTGACGCTAAAAGATCTGAATTCAAAGAGAAAGTTTTGGCAGTGCTAAAGGAAGGCAAATATGAGGATAAGAGATCTTCCAAGCTCACACAAGCAGATTTCATGCACCTACTTTCTCTATTTAACAAGGCTGGCATACATTTTTCTTGATTGAAGGGGCAACCAGTTATATGAGCTTATTGTTTCTTTCCGGTCATGCATGTTTGTGCTCTTTCTCCTCATGGAGATTCAATTTTGTTTCCGTTATAATGTTCTAAAAGCTTGAAATTTGTAGATAATTTGGACTTATTGTTTTGCGATATGGTGGTTTTGAATGAAATTAGAAGATCCTCTCCTCTTTGTAATATGGACTTTCTCAAGATTTGCCTCTTGTTGCACCATTAAAGTCAATGTTGAACGCCTTTTCCTGTACTGCGTTGTTGGTTAAGAACCATGCTACTGCCTCTATGGTTATAAACTGAAGTTCTCGGTTTTGTATTTACCGTCATCATAGTGACATACGTGAAGCAGAATTTACAATATAGTGTGTCATACCTAATGGTTAAGTAATTTTTTGTTCTGTTAGGAACTTCCAACCGAATAGATATAGCTTTCTCCAATGTTTTGATCTTAGATTGAAAAGGCTGATCTAGTTTGAATTAATTTTTGTCTGACCAAATATTACTTGTCGAGTTTTGACGTATGATGTTAGAACCAGTATGAAATTGCGAAAGCAGGGAGACCTAAGTGGATCCAGAGTTGGCCAAACAGAACAAACTCACCCCTTAAACAGATAGCTGCATTTTCCGAGGCAGATTAGAAATTGACGACAACCAAGATCTTATTCATGAGCTGAGAACAGTGGTTTTCTGCTGAACTTAACATTTCAGCGGCATAATGTCGCTTGGGTAGAATTTATGTACCGTACTGGGAGGATGGGAGGGTTCAAGAAGAAAATCAATTGATCACGCAGTTACTCGTACGCTACCTCAGTTTGACAGGTTCTGCTCTTATATATATAGTTTCACTGTTATTACATAGTTAGGATGAAATAAAGCAGTCTCCTAGCAAGGAGTACCAGCTTGAAGCAAAGATATTATTACATCAACTTCGTATAAATGATGCGATCCATACGGTGGAACTTCGGCAAAAGAATAGTAGCCAGCATATGTTATTACCATGAACTAGCAGGAATGATGTGTTATGACCAAAACATTTCTTTGAGCTTCTCCTCCTTTGCAATTATAAGGCATCAGTAAAGCGGCCTCTTGGTGTCACAAAGTGGAGTTTGTGAACTGAGATTGGTGTATATTATCCATTTTCACTATCGACTGGCAATGTTCCCGGAAAATTAAGGTTAGAGGTCATTCTTCATCCTTGTCTAATGATGTTGAAAGAAAGCTCAAAATGAAGTCATCAATATCCCCTTCAAGCACAGAATCAGGATCTGAAACCTCATAATTTGTCCGGAGATCTTTCACCATGCGATAAGGCTGCAAACATGATACAGAGCAGTTATGATGACTACATGAACCATAGATATGCAGGTAAAATGAAAGGTTAAACTGTACGAAAGCATACATGGAGCACATAAGAACGTATTTGGTTGCCCCAGCTAATCTCAGTGAGAGACTGGGTATGTTCTGCAGTCACTTGAGCCTGCCGTGCCATCTCAAGTTGGTCCAAGCGTGACTGAAGCACAGCCATGGCAGAAGCCTTGTTTAAATGCTGTGACCTAATGTTTGAACGAAGAGCAATAAAAACTTCATTTCTGTCCTTCTGTTTTCCAATGGAAATGAGAGAAGCTTTCGTATACATTTTCCACCAGAATGGATGCTTACCTTTCATTCTGACAAGAGGCAGTAATGCCTGTGGGAATATGAGTTATCCTGACAGCACTCTCAGTTTTGTTAACACTCTGACCACCAGCCCCTCCTGATCGAAAACGATCAATTCGAAGATCAGATTCATTGATCTGAACACGGGTAGATCCATCCCCGAGAATTGGAATAACAGCAACTGCGGCAAAGGAAGTATGCCTTCTCTTTGCGCTGTCAAATGGTGAGATGCGTACTAGACGATGCACTCCTACCTCTGATTTGGCATATCCAAAAGCATTTTCACCATCAACTTTGATTGTTGCACGCTGATAAGCAAGACTTAGCAGAAGTCAGCGGAGCAATAATACATAGCTAACTAGTGCCATGATGGAAATTTAAGAGGAAAACTTCCTAATTCCAGGTTAAATTAGAACCCATGATCATTTATTTCGATCGATAGAACCTATGAAAATTCACAACCCCATTTTAAACACACATTGATGCTATACTTAATGAAGTCTGGTATGCTTCAAGGTCAAACTGAGTTCTCCCGATGGAATGTACTAAAAGTAACACTTGTTTAAATAGCTAGAGAGTGTTCAAGATTCACAAATTTTACTCTTTATACGTCTTAATAGCTACAGAATTTTCAAGCAAAAGAAGAAAATATGGTAAGAACCTAGACCTTGATTCCTGCAATCTCACCAGGCATTTCGTCCACAACAGAAACACCATATCCTTTACGTTGAGCCCACAATTTGTACATCTGCATGACCATTGAAGCCCAATCCATGCTCTCAGTACCGCCAGCTCCAGCTTGCACCTATAGGGGAAATAACAAGATGGTGAGTATCTATTTTAGAAAACATGATTGTAGAAATCAACAACTTGAGTAGGTTTTTGCTATGACATGTCCTAAGTAAGCTTTCTGGGATTAAGATGTGACAAGGGGAGATAAGTACACAATCAAAGATCAGGTAGAGAAAAGGTTCTCCAAACAAAAAGATACATGTATCAGTAAAACCATGTTTTGACTATTCTAAAAACACGATCCGAGCTTCAGAGGAACTAACCTCTATAAAACAAGAGCAATAATCATGCTCCCCAGATAATAAAGCTTCGAGCTCTTTTTCTTTCACGTTCCTTCTAATCCTTAATAGAGCTTTCACTGATTCCTGCAATCAAAAGGACTAATAAAATAGGTAGAAATGTGGAGTGACAATAGAGTTTCTCACAAGATTGATCCAGGATGCAGATACCATAATGAATAGGAGTATCCCAGAATACTCACTTTCTTGAAAGGAAAAGAAATGTTTTATCATATAAAATATAACACAAGAAGGTATGTAGAACCTAACTTTCACTTCTTTATACAACTTCTTCCATAGCTATTCCTGGAAGAAAAAGAAAACGAAAAATTTCAACTGCTCACAAGTACATTAACCGTCAAACCAAGTAGTCAGTCTTATACAGAAGATGGAGTTGCAAATTCAGCAGTTTCTTTATTTATTTATTTATTAATTCTACCAAGCAGGGATTGAGCTGTTGATACTTGCAAGTCAGATTCAAAACTCTCACATATAATATAGCACAAGTTGTACAGAACATAACCTTACTTTATAGTATAACCATTCCTTACCGATTCCTGGAAGGAAAAAACAAACAAAAAGCAACTCCTCCTAATTTCACTTTGGTCAAACAAAGCAATCTTTTATTTTTTATTTTTTAGAGAAGGACCAAGCAATCAGTTTTACCCGGAAGATGAGTTACGATTTCACTTATTTATTTCTTTATTTATTATACCAAGCAGGAATTGGGCTGTTCGTACTTGCATATTCATCACTAAGAACTAGATTGTTAGTTAAAGTTACAAATAAAGTATTTAAAGAAAGGCCAAATACATAAGCAGGCACCTAAACTTGGCACTTAAAGTTAGGCCCATTCCTATTAGAAAAAAAAAATATTGTCACTGAAATTTCCCTCCCAGCAGCAAACCCCCGTTGCATCCCAATTCTTCTTCCTTCACTATCTTTGTCAGACCACCAAAACCCCCACAGAGAATCACCACTACCACCATTTCACATACCCACCAGAAACAAAAATCTTCAATCAGTTATAACCTTAGCACATCCATCTCTCATTGATTTCAATAGACAAATTTAAAAACCCGCTATAAAAGGCTTTTACAATCAGAGAAGAACCAGCAGTAGTGAGCGAGCAGCAAAAAAAAATTCCGACTAACAGCGACCTCCAGAAAACCTCGATCTTGGCTGGAAATTTATTCTCCGACGATCCTGTAATGCCACCTCCGGCAATCTCTCTCCTTTTCTTCCTTCCTTATTTCCTCATTTCGGAAACACCTTAAAAATTACACGCTCCTTCAAAAATCAAATCAGATAACCATCGAGTTTGATGGAAAAATCTCGCTGGTGATTCCAGTTGATAATGAAAGCATTGACAGCACCATGACCAAGAAAATTTGAGAGTAAGCTGAAGGAAATTCTTAAAGAGTGATTCTTTGCACTTGTTCCCCTGGATATTCTGTAAAAAATGGAATTGGAGATTTTAAGGAGTGGCCGTGGTGGATTTTTGATGAAGAATAGCTAAAAGTTAAAATTTAAACTAAAATTTTCTTTAGCTCTTCACGCGCTCAAGAGAAGTATTGTTCACACAATATGACATGTCAGCGATCTGTGTTAAATACACACACTTGGGAGGTAGTTCGAGTACCTAATAGGAACGGGCCTAACTTTAAGTGTCTAGGTGAAAAACGGTGTCAAGTTTAGGTGCTTGCTTATGTATTTGGCCTTAAAAAAAAGGTGTAACTACAAATTAAGTGGAACCCCTAGGATCAAAACTAATAGCTATTTAAATGAAAGTACTGATAAACTTCAATGATCTGCCTGAATAAACTGAACTTAAGAGGAAGAATCGGGGTTAGAGATTTGCACCATTGTAAACTAAACTGAAACACGTGGATAGTGTAAAACAGGAACATGGAGTAGTGGATTAGATTCCTTGCAAAAAAAAGTTTTAAAGCTCACCGATTCCAACTCTGGATCATTCTCTTCTCGGGCAAGCTTTATCATGTCAATATGCTCAACCAACTCTTGTTCAATTGCCATAACATCCTCCATTTTTTTCATTAAAGAACCATGTTCACGGCTGATTTTCCCGGCATGGACAGGGTCATCCCATAGATCTGCCTTATTGGTTTGAGCTGACAGCACTTCAAGCCTATCCATTAGCCTTTTCCACTATAAATGGGAGAAGACAAAAAAAAGACTTAAACTCATTATTAAAAATAAAAGATTCTCCAAGGGAGCCATGTAATATATTATTTCAGAGAAATTATTATCTAAATCTAAAGATAAAGTAACACACTCCTACACATTCGCAAGTACAACAAGAATTTCTTGTCAGACTAGTTATGCTAGTTATCAGTTACTATTATTGCGTTTACAGTAACAAGATCATTCTTTTACATCCTTCTCGTATCCTGCCATAACTCTGAAGCTACTATATATCAATTAACAATATTAATGTCATGAGGATTAATGAAGGTTTGATTATTTTTGCAGTCAACTTACTCTAACTATAGCAAGCTTACTCTGAAGCTATTGTATCTGGGCTTGAGACCAACTATAGCAAGCTTACATCGGTGCAGATACTATTATCGTGGTAGCACCACTGTTCTCTCCATGTCCATCACCAACCAGACACACAGACACACCACCACCACCACCACCACCACCACCACCCCACCAACAACCCCCGCACGAAAATTCACCCTATTGTGGAAGTATTGGTAAGCAAACTGTCCCGTCTTTCAAACAGAATAAATAAACCATAAAGATCAAAACTTTGTCATAAATATCACAAGTTTTTCTCCTCTTCTTATTTTAATATAAGCATAAAGATCACAACTTTGTCATAAATATCAAAAGTTTTTCTCCTCTTCTTATTTTAATATAAGCATAAAGATCACAACTTTGTCATAAATATCAAAAGTTTTTCTCCTCTTCTTATTTTAATATAAGCATAAAGATCACAACTTTTTAGAAATGTGGTCCATCAAAATTAAGTAAAGCCCAAAAAAAAAGAAAAAAAAAACAGCTACTTCAAAATGCAATTAAAGATAGATAAAGAAACCTTGAGGCGTTTCTTGATAAGATGAATGGACTGAGCAATGGAAGAAGCATGGCTCTTCCAATCATTCTCACTCTCATCAATTATATTCCAACTTTTAGCTATAATTCCCTCAACAGTTAGCCCATCTGTAGTAGTGGGCTCAACAACAGCCTCGGAGCTCAAAAACCGAACACCCCATGTAGAAACAAATGGGGGTTTTGGACTTCCCTTCAAAATTGAAGAGAACCCTTTATTTCTTCTGTTAAATGAATTGTACCAAGAATTAAAAATTGAGAAGCTATTATTGGAGGAGGAATTATTAGAAGAAAGGGAAGAAAAAGGGCAAGAAAATTTGCGTGTAGGGATTCGAGAGAGCTGCTTTGATCTTTTTCCTAATGTTTTCAATAGTAAAAATGACATTTCTTTTTCCTCTTTCTGTAATCGATTTGAGGAACCAGAGGTTTAGGCGAGGGTTTAAGGTAGTAATTCAGATTTCAAAAGACGAAACTATACGACGTCGTACTCTTTTTTAAAAAAAAAAAAGTTATTTGAGGCCCGTCCATAGATGGAGTAAGCTTTGCCTTTGAAAAATTTTCACAAACCACTATTGTTTAGTGATTATTAGCTAGTTGTACCTATCATTTACTATATTACTTTCTATAGATATGTTTTCATTTTGTTAGAGTGTATTCGATGTATTTAAGCTACAGTATTCATGAATACAGTAGCAAAATTCGGCGTGAAACAGGGGATTCCAACTAGACAATTATTGTATTCGATTGTATTCACGATACGTAATTGTGAATAGAGTAACGCAAATAGCGCAAACTGTGGTCTATTCAGCTATTTTTAAACGAAAAGTGAATCAATTAACACAATAGACTCCTAATATAACTCAACTAACTCAATTACATCACCCATAATCTGTATTTGACGCGAAATATGTTGAATATTTTTCCCAAATACAACAAAATAGAGCAATCAAGTTTCTAATCCTTCCCTTTTCTGTTGATATCGTTCGTGGGTGTTTATGTTTTCAACCAATAAAATTCGAGATTCATCTATAGTGCAAAAACATATGAATACATACTGCAGATACATTTGAATACATATATACATCTGCATACATAAATTATATTACTTAAAGAAATATATGAATACATTCATGGAATACAGCGAGACAGTGAATACAATGAAATACATGGAATGCAGCGAGATACATTGAAATGCAATGAAAAACAAAGATAGTGAATACAATAAAATACATAGAAATACAGCGAGATACATTGAAATACAATGAAAAAAAAGGTAACAGACTCTTCAAGTTGCTCATCCTCAAACTCTGTCGTCTTTCTTCAAGAACAACCCTAATATTGTCTCGTCGAGAGGGCCGCGATTCTGACTTGAAACTCTCAAAATTTGGCACAAAAAAGAAAGAAATTCCTTATGATTTAATGAAGATGCGCGACTTAGTAAAGATGACTTGCAATATAAAATCATGCGAAAAATCGTACTCGACCGACGTCAAAGCAACGACAATCAGAATAGGGTGGATCTTCATGATTTCCTTTCAAACTTCCCTCAATTTACCTCAAATTTCGAAGCTCCATCTTTCTCTCTAGGGCTTGATTTCGATGGCCGTTGCTTTGATTTCGATGGCCATTGCTTTGATTTCAAACCTCCATCTGAAAGAATGAGAGACCTAAACAATACGCTCCATAGGGATAAAGAACCCATGATTATACAAACAAGCCCTTGAATGACTTGGGAGTGAAGGGATAAACATACGCTCGAGAAGCGGGTGAACAAGCCTTCTCCATAGGATTCTGACTTGGGCCAACCAATACGAGGCTATAAGGTTAGTGCAATTAATTAAGAGTATTTTATGGCTTAAGGGTATGAGGTAACCATAAATAAATATTTGGCTATAAAGATCAAAAGGTAGCTATGAAATATAATTTTTTAAAAAGGTATTTACTTAAAATAAATAAGATATCAACCTTTGCTATAGGAGGTAAAAATTCCTTAAAAGTTTAGTTTGATATATTTGGCTAACTGTAAAATAAACCTTACTAAAGTACTTTTACATTATAAACTATGCACTAAAAGTAATTTGAGGAAGATTTGCAATTTTATTCTAAGTCAATTATCCTCTATTATCAGATTTGATCTACCTGCTACTAGATCCTATCTAAACAATGCTTTATACAATATTCTCAAATTATATTTCTACTCGCCATAAACAAGGCTCAAGTCTTTAAAATTTGATATGCTATAAATGTCGTTAGGAAGAGACATAAGAGAAAAACTAAGTGGGTGCTCATTGATGATAATAGAACCGTTAAGTAGAGAAACTTAAGACACTATCGACAGATAATAGTGGTGTGAAATGTAACATTTTTGACAACAATTACTAGCTTTGGTGTAAGTAGCTCCTTCATATTGGCATTTCCCCCAATCTTTGGTACCACTTTTAGACCATCACCTGAGCATTGTTCCATCAACATGAACATAGATTTCAAGCATCATACAGAAAAATAAAGTAAGCAAAGCTTTGCTTGATCAAACTTTTCTACCATAGTGGATTGCGACACTATCTAATATGCTTCTACCACATGCTCTCAGGGCCTTCATAACAATAGCTATAGGGAATGCCGCGAGTAAGATGTGTTCTGATTGAAGCGTCTTCACTTCAAGATTCCTTGTCAAATGTCTACAGCCAAAACTGAATAGCATCTCTTCAACTGGAATTATTGCCTAAAATACAACAGCCTGTCTGTCTGCCTAGTTTAAATATTACATTCTGCCATCCAACTAGCTCCAACAAGACAAAAGAATTGACATGTACAATAAAGAACCTATGATCTCTTGAGCACAAATTCGGAAAAATGCCTCATAATGCAGGTCTTGCTACCACAAAAGGTAGAAGTATATGATGAATAGATATTAGACACCAGAAGGATTAATATAAAAGTGACATATGGCTGCAGAAAACCATGTCCTGCTCATTGGAATGCCGATTATTTGGCTGAATGTTACTGAAGTGTCATTTTACTGCTTCACCATAAATGAACTTTTACAACTGCACCCACCCACTGCACTAGGATTGGTAGACACCTGCAGAAAATAAGACATGCACGAAAGCGGTAAAATGAAAACCCGATAGTAACAAACAGATAATGAAATGGTCCTAGTGCCAGATAAAAGATATATCAAACTTTAACGGATGAAAATTCTTGGAGCAATGTGAACATTAGGATAACGGTATAAATTCGTGTAATACACTACCACACCCTCATATGAAATCTTCTAAGACCATGTGGTTTTTATTTCCCTATAGCTCCGATAACACCAGAAAACTTGCAGGCTTGCAATTTTGTCAAATCTAAGAAGCTTTTCAACTGTTTTCCTCCAAAATAACATCCTAGCACTAACATCATATTCCCCTTTAGAAGGTATACCAAAAGTTCAATCAAGGGGGTCTGACACAATAGTAAAACATATGGTCCGAGTCATTTTACCTGTGTTTTGCAAATAATAGACTTTTGTTTGTTGATAAATAATTTTAGCACAAGTCCATTATTTCTAGCATCCATCTACTTATCGTAGTTGCGCCTTTCAAATACAGTTTTTTTTTACAACATAATGTGTTATTCTTTTCACATTTTCAGTTGAGGGCACTAGGGAGAACATGGGGGGTGTCTAGAGGAAGCAACCACAGTTTCAATACAGTATGTGGTGCAAGATAACCTTTTGAAGTATTAACTAACTTCCTTGTTCCATACATGACAAGATAGAAGACGCAAAAAACTGCTTCAAGTCTAAAGTGATCTTTTCCATACTCCAAAAGCAGTTAAATGTTGAACAAAAATTCATGCATTTTCAAAATAAAAATTCTGGTCTATATGAGTTAGACACCTTTAGTTTCTAGATAAACTACTTGAAGGTAAAACTTCTATTTTCTAACCCAGGCTAATAAATTGGTCAGTGGTACAATCATACTTGAGAATGGCAAGTGTTTTTGCGCTTAAGCTAATGACCTGTCCTAGTTCTTGCTTCATTGACAAACAGTAATTGAAAAAGAGAATAGCAACATCTGTCATGCTATTGATCTAGAACACCAATATGCATGTGTATGTGACATGCAAGAAAATACCAATAATGAAGGTCATGGAAGCTACATTTACAGACCTGAAAAGCAGAGCGAATCAGCTCCTCAACATAATCAACAGTTGCACCTTTGACGAAATCATATGATACATTATCCACGACCAATTTAACTCCGTCGCGCTCAAATATTCTATGAAGAATAAGAAATGAATAAGATGGCAACATAAACAACATACTGACAAATCTTAAAACTAGTAACATATGATACTAAAGTGCATTTTAAGTGGCTTTGCAGGGTGGGAAGGCCGGGAGTAGGATGCCGAATTCATACTGCAAAATTTGTCAGATTTCTTATGACCACCTAGAACATGATTCAGCAATCAATCAATTATACTCGATAATTAGTTTTAAGACAACTAAGTAAAGACAAATAGGGCCCTCTAAAACTAATGCAAGGATAATATAATGCTCGAAAATTGAATAGGCTGACAAAAAGTACAAAACGTCAGCAAACCTGTCATCAGAATTGGTCTTATCATCTAGAGAGAATTCATACTGAAACCCCGAACAACCACCAGCTTCAACACTCAAACGAAGCATCTTCTCTTTATGTTCGCCAGCTTGCAACTCTTTCATCCTCTGCTCAGACATGTAAAAGGACTAAGTCAGTGAATTGTCTCAACTTAATTTTACAAGCAATTCAGACACCTAATCTCTACATCAAACCTTATAAAATAGTATAAAAGCTTGAATCTTGTCGTCTAACTGATTATGCTCTCACATAGTCGTATGTATCACGATTTCCAGAACCAAAAAAAAATCCCCATTTCAAGAAAATCCCTTTCACAAATGGAGTTTGGAGCTACTCACTTGGAAATTAACAATCTTTCATAAAGCAACTAAACAAAATTTTAGCTGATTAAACAAAAAGGGTTCAAGTCTCATGATGCTTCAAAAATAGACAGCATAAAATCCTTGGAAAAATTCTATTACAAATGCACATACGGAAAGATATAGCGACAAAATTCTATCCCAAATAAAATCAATCATAACGGACTAGAGAGAGATATTAAACTTACACGAACGCAGCTCTCGGTCATTAAGACGGAATCGAGAGCTTCGACTTGGGGTTGGGATAGAGCAGAAGAAGCAGATGAATTCAAAAGGCGGTAATTTTGGCGAATCCGAGTTGTGAAAAAAGGAACAATTCGACGAATCAGAGAACTGGACGACGATGCCATAGCCTACAACTTTTTCATCTACAGAAGATGAGATTGTCAAACTCTTCGATGTTTCTGGAAGAAATGATATGGGATTCGTCGACGAGTTGAAGATGACAAGTTGTGTTGGAA